GCAAAAAAACAGTACAATGTCTGACTGACGAGTGAACGAACAATCCACGACCGCATTATTTTCTCGCTGAACCATTGTTTTGTTAGCTGGCACACACTTCCTTTAGATTTCGCATCTTGCCTTGTCACATCACCGAATAGCCCGTCAAATATTCTGAAACGGGGCACTCCGTATTTGATTAATGTTAGACCGAGAATGATCTTGAAATGAGGCATTCCAGAGAGAAGCATATAAAAAAAAAATAGTGTGTCTTTGCAATGAAAAATCCACCAAACTACTATATTATTTTTTGAATAATCCTTTACATTAAATTTGCCTTTGTTGGTGTGTTTCTTTCTGGCTTGGTGTGTTATAAAATATTCGAATGTCTAAGTGACCCAATTCCCGTCAATCTATTGAGCTGAAACTTGACACATATACTCGTTGCTCATAACAACACACTCTGTCAAACTATACTAACCATTTATGTCGGCTTTATTATGTTTCTGTTCCATGTTAAAATGTATGTTTTTTTTAGTTTAAGACTTAGCTAATAAATCTCTGGCGGCCATAATGACCTTACACCCATTTGTTTTCTATTAGAAAATTAAACCTGAAATTGTTTTGCTAAAACATTGTTGTTGTTTTTTGTTCCTCGCGTTTAATTATTTTCTTCTTTCCCACATTTTGTTTATGAAAAATAACAAGAAATTAATTCACACTATTATATATATATATATATATATATATATATATATATATATATATAATATAATTATATATTTTGTATATTTTCTCTTAAATTTTGAAACAAATGTTTATAAAAAATAAAAAGAAATTAATTCACACTATTATATATATATATATATATATATATATATATATATATATGTAATGTAATTATATATTTTGTATATTTTCTCTTAAACGTTGAAACAAAACTAAGCAAGGTTTTAAGTCATTTGACAGTCATATCAGATCATAAGTTTTGAATCAGTCATAACTTTAATCATTGCACTGAAATCAAATAAAAAGACTTGCAAAGAAAGTTTTTTTGTTTTTTTTTAAATATTGTATCTGGAAAAACAAAACAACCTAGTGCTAAATACCAACCGAAGTCCCGTGTTTCTAAAGCTCTTAATGTTCTCTGTTCACAATCTTTCACCGCAACTTCAACTGAGTGTCGTTTGAACACTGCATGTCTCTTGAAAACACTACGATGTAAATATTACGGTGTTCTCAGTTGTGGAGAGACTTTGTTTCTTTGAAACATTTGAAAGACGCATGAAGGCAATAGGTGCATACAGAAAAACGCTCATAAGTTTTCCGTGGCTTTATTAGGACTGGAGTTCATCAAACAAAAATTTGTGCGGCGAGCTAGCAAGGGGAATATTTATAACACGAAACAAGCGCAACAATCAACAGCTTTTAAAAAGGGATTAATCGGTCCATTATGTTCACGACCAGGTGTGCAACTTGATCGGCGTACCTATACATTTTACAGGTAATATTATACAGAAAGTTATTGATGTCTAGTAGCCACCCGGGTCCTCAGAGGTTGAGTTCACCCCAGAAGTTGAGTTCGCCTCATAGGTTTAGTTCAACCTGGAGGTTGAGTTTGGTTGATAGGTTAAGTTCGCCTCAGAGGTTGATTTAACCTCAGAGGCTGCTTTCGCCTCACAAGCCGAGTTCACCTCAAAGGTTGTGTTCGCCTCAGATGTTGAGTTCGCCTCAGAGGTTGAGTTCGCTTCACACGCCGAGTTCACCACAGAGTTTGTGTTCGCCTCAGATGTTGAGTTGAAATCAGATGTTGAGTTCGCCTCAGATGTTGAGTTCGCCTTAGAGGTTGAGTAGAGTCTCAGGAAATAATGTCGCTGGTCTTTGATTCTTTTAACGTATCTTAAAAATATTTATCCTAAAATGTCTTAGAGTGTCATGTCAAAGTTACAACCAGCCAAACCTCGAGACGCAAATAATATTCCAGCACTGATGAAAATATTGCAATAGAACACCTCATGCGTAACATAGTCTCTCCCACCCAGCGTCCATGTGTCTTACAGTTATTTATGGTTTAACACCATACATATGTGAGGTTTCTGGTTCAATGCCATTCACTTATATGTGAGAATACTGGTTCAATGATGTACACTTATATGTAAGGTTACTGGTTCAATACCATACACTTATATGTGAGGTTACTGGTTCAATACCATACACTTATATGTAACCGTTCAATACCATACACTTATATGTAAGGTTACTGGTTCAATACCATAGACTTATATGTAAGGTTACTGGTTCAATACCATACACTTATATGTAAGGTTACTGGTTCAATACCATACATTTATATGTAAGGATACTGGTTCAATACCATACACTTATATGTAAGGTTACTGGTTCAATACCATACACTTATATGTGGTTTCAATTAGTCATTTAAAAAAAACCTATCATTTGCTAGTGTAAAAAACTGAAGTCAACATCCTTGCTAGTAGCGGAAAGTCGCGGTTGATTTAAACGTTTGTACTGTCTATTCGGTTCTTTAAGAAGTTAGTGACATGACAAGACAATTTCAGCCTAAAGCAGAACATAATATCACAACCGAAAGGTCCCGCTGCTGGATACTTCTTAGGAACTGTGCAACTTATCGAAATGCTTCGTGTAGGACGTCGCCCTTTTTCGAATAAATTTTCGGTAATTTACATTGGCAAAAGCCGCTGTTACTAACATTTACAATTTGATATAAAATTTTTAAAAATCTACCATTACTTGTGGTAAAGTGGGTTAAATAAGTTTAACCTTGTTATTTTTTTTCACCCAGCTACTTTCAAGTGCATAACATGATAATGAATATTATCTTTACCTTTTTTTTTGTAGTAAGTAAATACGAATTTTAAAAAAATGGTTGCTATTTAAGGGAAGCTAGTCGTGAAAATAATGTTATCCAAACATTTTAAAAGTTATTTCCCATTTTTATAATGATTGATTCACATTAATTGAAAACAATACCTCATTAAGGATGAAGCTGGCATTTGTTTATTTCAGCTTTATGAAAAGCTATGAATTTATTATTGTATAAATGTGTGGGTTTTTTTTTGCTAAAGATTTAAGAGAAACAACCCTTAAAGACTAATTGTCCTATTTCGTACACAAAACAAGCGTAAAATATTCTTGTTTCACAGAATAATAAATATCAAGCATTAGAAAAAAAAAATCCTTAAAGGGCATTGAAACATTTATTTTAAATAAATTAATTTATTATTCTAGCTTTTCTAATATTATTATAAAATTAACATAAATTTTATAGTTTCAAATTTTTTTAGTGAACTTTACGTGACAATAATAGTGCTTTGTACCTTGTTAAAAATATGATAAATAATTATTTGTTTAAGTTATAATAAAAAAGAAATAATGTGTCAAGATCCTATTCTCAGAGCCTCTTTGAGTTCGTCTACATAACACATCTCTTTTCTTGTTTTGATGACATGAATTAGATTCAAGAATTGTGCTCTAATTCAGTCTCATCAATCTGCTCCTTCAGAGGCGTGCCCCTCTGCTTCTGGTTCTGGTAATGTATCATTGCTGCATCCATGTACTGGCATCTTTGCAACGGTTGGAGGTATGATGTGGCTATTCTAACAGCTCCTAGCTGATGCCAGGGCAGCCTTGAAGCTTTCGACCGATGTCGAGTTCACAGTGGCATCGTTCAGGTTGTTCCATGCTATTGTTTTGCGTGAGAAGAAATATTGTTGATACTGCACTGTGTTGCACTGAGGCACTTTGAAGCATTTGCTATTTTTTCTGTTAAAAGAAACCTATTCGGCTCTGTTTTAAGACAAGTCTATAACTACATTGAAACACGCCCACTGACGAATCTAGAATAACATTTAAACTCTCCCACTGAAGAATCTAAAATGGCCTTTAAAATATCCCAATGACGAATCTAGAATGGCATTTAAACTCTCCCAAGGATGAATCTAAAATGACTTTTAAAATCTCCCACCGACGAATCTAGAATGACCTTTAAAATCTCCCACCGACGAATCTAGAATTACATGTAAACATCTGCTTCTTCGACAGATTCCAAAATAATTTCTCTCCAAGCAGATGCAATTTATAAAAAAGGTTCTCAAAAAAAGTAATTCGAACCCATGTCTAACTAGTATATACTTAATTCAGATTAGATTGTTCTTTAGCTAAAAACCATAGAGTTGCACTTTTAGGTAGGTATCTTTTGTCACTGGAAAAATATTATTTAGCCTCGAATTAGTATCTTCATCTCATACGTGTCAGAACTGAGTGTAGCAGGTCATCCAATCAAGAAGAAAACACCTGTTGCACACACCTATTGTATGTATTTTGTGTTGACAATGACTGGAACGGCACATGGACATTGAGGGAAAAAGCACTGTGATAAAAAATCGAAAAGCGCATTGAAACGTGAAACAACAATTTCAGAATTTTTGAAACAACAATTTTAGAATGATCGCAACAACAAATTTAGAATGATTTAAACAACACATAAACAAATTAACATGGATTAATAAGCAAAACATGATTGATGTATTTTTATTTTTACATGAGATTTATTTTGTGTTTTTATGGATTTGTTACTTTGTCATTTTATAAGTTACATTCGTAAAACCCATTTCTACGTTTAATTTACAATCACTATTCCAAAATCGAAAGCTATTCTTTGAGTTTCTAAAATAATTTCATTTTCCAGGTTGATTGAAATGATTGAGAACTCTTAAAACATTGAATGATTTTTTTTTTTTAATCCAAAGATATTAATGATGCGTAAAAATAATAAAAATAAAAAAAGGTTCTAAAAGTTAATATATATTTATATATATAAATCTTTGTATTAATTGATGCTACGCCATAATCGGGGGCCGCAGCCATTATTGCACTCAATTTTTTGGCCTTTTTAATTCAATTTTATCCCTTGTCTAAAAGCTATGTGATATCTCAGCGTTTTTTATTTTATTTCCCTTTCCGGATGTTGGTCCCCTGCCGAAAAGCTGTCTGAACACGTCCCTGTACTTTGTGCTCATGTTGTAGTAGATGAAGATGTTCAAGGCCGAGTTGGTCGTCTCCAGGATGTACCCAAACGAGAACACAACAAAGAACATGTTGTGGTACTTCCCGTCGATGGACAGCCCGGGCTCGACCGTCATGCCGATGAACAAGACGCAGATCGGCGTAAAGCAGACGATGAACAGTGTCGATATCATCACGACCATCCGGGTCACCTTCTGGTCGCGACTCGACATGGTTTCCGACTGACCGGAAACGGCCGACCTCTGCCGCCATTTTGTTTTGTTCTTCAGCTTGACGACGAGGATGATGGTGCAGGAGAGAATGGTGAGGAAAGCCGAGAAGGGGACGATGATGTTGTTGATGGTGAAGGACACCTTCTCCACCTGCTCACGGTCTGGGGTGTAGATGAGTCCCAGCAGGGTTTTGTTACGGTCGGGGAAGAACTTCATGCCGTACCTGTTGGCATAGTAGACGGGCGACACACTGGCGATGAGGATAACAAAGATTGAGACCATGATGATTGTGACTCGTTTTGGCGTAAAAATGATTTTGATCTGTGTAAAAGAAAACACAACGTGCTATCGTATTTCTAAAAAATCCCAATTCATTTTAACTGCACTTTCCTCCAAAAAATTGTTTAACATGTTCCATTCTGATTGAAATACTAGACAAAGCTGTGCAAAATCATATATTATAACTAAAACAAAAATTTTTTTGTACAAATATAACGAAATAAAACTGTGAAAATATGTATCTTATCTCCTTATTTATGTTATAAAACAAATAATAATTGGATTTGAAAAATAAGTATGCATCTTTTCAGCCTCTGAGTATGTGACCTCGACAACGTGACACCATATTACATAAAAAACACTGTTCGACAAACTGAATTCAAAGTTTATGCATTGTAAAATTGTCGAAAGAAAGATCTGTATGCATACGCTTACCTCCAAAGTCATTGTAACACACAAACTCTGCAGCGATCTCCATGCATACACTTACCTTAAAAGAAATTTAGCACACATACATCTCTCAACAGATCTGCAAGGAAACATTCACCATTAAAGGCATTGTATGCACAGACATCTCTCCAGCGATCTGCATGTATACATTTACCTTTAAGGGCATTGCTATGCACAGACATCTCTCCAGCGATCTGCATGCATACTCTTATCTTTAAGGGCATTGCTATGCACAGACATCTCTCTGGAGATATGCCTGCATACAGTTACCTTTAAGGGCATTGCTATGTACAGACATCTCTCTGGAGATATGCCTGCATACAGTTACCTTTAAGGGCATTGCTATGCACAGACATCTCTCCAGCGTGATGAAGGCAGTGATCCAGCTGGTGATGCGTGTGAACATGACATGTGGCCACCCGCCCGTCAGGTACTGCATCTCTATGGAGTCAAACGGCAGGTCAGCGTCATGGAACAGCGGGTTGAAGCAAAGGTTGTGCCATATCAAGGTCCCGAGCATCCCCACGTCAGACACTGCAAGTGCTGGACGATGCAACAGTTTAATTAGGTAAACAATTAACAACATAGTCTGTTGATCACTGTTCTGTTTTTGTCTGCAACGTATGCTAGGCTGGCTTGTTTCATTACTTGTAAGAGTAGCCGAATGACGTCAATACTGTCAAAGTCATATGCAATTCTAGTGCGTTTAATTAATTGTAAGAGTTGATTGACTTCATTACTCTCAAAGTCATATCCAATTATGTTTTATTTTATTAATTGTAAGAGTGGAATGCAGACAGTTCTTTCAATGTCATGCATATTTTTTAGGGGGAATTGAAATTCTCAATCACCATTGTCTTTTTCCATGACTTTCTGTTAAAACAAAGAACTGTTTTTTACGCGTTCGTTTAAAGACAATGAAAAGGTAATAATATAAATAAACATTCAATAAACACAAGGAAATAATAATTATCAACTTACCAAACAGACTGACATTGACTGAATCTTTAAATCCTTGTTTCAGAAACACAATGATGTTTATGATGTTTGTCGCCGTGCCGAAAATGTCCATCACCTGGCAGACGATGGCGAAGTTAAGTGCCTGAAAGATGAGGCGCACCTCGTCACTGACATATCCCGGGAAGTACCTCCAGGTGTCGTCGGTATCGTTTGAATGCACAGTATCGGCTGCGATATCTTGGAAGTGAAGATGCGTGTGGATAGCGTTAGAACTGTTTGAAACATTAACGCTTAAAACTAGTATCGATACCATAATCGACGTTGGAGTTTAATTTGTTCTTGAAAGCAAGCCAAAATTTATTGTGTACACTTGAATAGTTATGTCATTTTAGAGCAGTGGACTTTTTCACACATTGAACTTGTCTGTGTACACATATTATGCTTTTAACGTTTAATTTATTTCTAGAAAAAAATTTAAAAGCTTAATACATTAAGTGTTTCTTTTAAAGTTTGAAATGAGTTCTTGCTGGATGAGCTGAAGAAAGAGCATCAGAGTTGGGTTTTTTCAGTAATAAACCAATGACGTCATTGCATCTAGCTCAAAGTTGATGGCTAGTGACATTAAATATCAATAAACTTTGATACCATGATCTGTAGTTTAAGTTGAAGTTTGTGGTAAATGAATCATCAATAAACTGCAACACCATGATATTTAGTCTACTCAGATTAAAGCAGGCATGAGTATGGTGTCCCATCAAACGTGTCTTTGCTATTTACATTGAAAACCTTACAATAACGTCACACTCAAAATACGATATTCATTAAATGTTTAAAAACAAAAAGGTTCAGCAATAAATACTTTTTTTTTCTCTCCGTTTTCACAGATTTACATTAAACTGATTTTATTGTACCTTTTTGTGAGTTAAAATACAAAGAATACTTTGTAAGTATGTGTGATTACAAAATGTATTTTAGCAGGAAAAATAGTGTCTTTATGATATTACAGTAATAAAACCCTCGTCGTTAGTTTAGTCATGACATGGCACATAGCCCAAGATAACGCGAAGCATAAGCTCATAAAACTAGCAATAACACAGCTACACCGACCGCAGCAATCTTACACATTATTTTAATGTGTTCATTATTTTACTTATAACGATCTGTGCTCACATCCAGTTTAAGTTACACAGAGGGAAAAATTTGTCAAGATGGCGTATTTTAGAACAAGGGCTGATTTCTTTGTCTTTACTAATACAACAGAATGCAGTCAATTGCACCTGGCACAAATTCTCTTCAACTTTTTTTCTCTCCGAATGTGCTACTCCCTAACTCTATCTTGACAAAAAAATTGGGTTTAAAGACATTAAGTTCTTTGTGTTAATGTGGAAGCATCAAGAACGCGAGACAAGTGGGTTCAACATAACGCTTGATCATGTACACTTTTCGTGGCCTTGTGATTTCTGTAACAGTAAGTTGTATGCAAACAAGTTGTACATTTAATTGGTGAAATAAACGGTTGTCCTACCGAGCAATCAGTTTTCTTGTAAGAAACCATCACGGCAGTACATAATTGTGGTGTCATTATTCTTTAATGAAGAACTACAAGAGTGTAAACTAATTGAATGAAAGCACTTCACAGTAATCGATCACGAAAACTAAATAATTACTGTTGACATAAGAGCTGGGGGTAGTCGATCACTTGCATGTACAATAGGATTTCCGAGTTCAAATTCACACATCACGTGAGTCAGTGATTATTTTCACAGTAGGGAAATCATCAAATTAAAACACCAAAAATGTCTCACTTTTAAAAACAAAGTACTTTTAATCAAATTATATTTGTTTTTGTTTTTTTTTGGTTGTTTTTTTTTTTTTTTTTTGGTCTGGTTTTTTAGATTTTATTTCATTGGTTTCAATCTAAACATTTCATTTTGACACCAAGACCATTGGTACTTAATTTCTTAGACTCAGTTTGTAATTTTAAAAACAAAGTACTTTTAATCAAATTATATTTGTTTTTTTTTTTTTTTGGTTGTTTTTTTTTTTTTTTTGGTCTGGTTTTTTAGATATTAGTTCCATTGGTTTCAATCTAAACATTTCAGTTTGACACCAAGACCATAGGTACTTAATTTCTTAGACTCAGTTTGTAATGTAGCTGTCCATGAGTTATTGAATACTTAATTGGATAATTATTTTATTTGTTCTTGAAGGGTATAGTAATGTGTGTTCTTTAGATGGCGCTTCAATGAGCGTGTCATGGGTTCGTTTGTTAAATTACTAGTTGATGAAGGGTTTGTTGGTTAAGGGCTAGTTGGTGAGGGCTTAGTTTGAGAAGGCCTAGCTTATTGATTAGACGTAAGTTGATTAGATTTAAGTTGATTTGATGCAAGTTGATTAGATTTAAGTTGATTACATTTAAATAGATTAGATATAAGTTGATTAGATGTAATTTGATTAGATTTTAGTATTAGATATAAGCTGATTAGATGAGAGTTGATTGGATGTCAGTTGGTGATGTTAAGCTGATGATCTGATGGTGTTTGTTTGTTTGCCTGAAATGGAATCCAGAGTTTTAAAAACGTCCAAATGCCAGTAGCATGCCACCATTTCCTTTTGCTGACTCAATACACCTTGGGCACCTTCTCCCGCAAAAAAAAAAAAAAAAAAATTAATAATAATAATAATTTCACAAATGTTTACTAAAGCCAGTATTCAATTTTATTTGTGGAGTTTTTAAAACAAAACAAAGCAAATAAAATAAAATAAAAACACTTACTTAATATACTATTTTTATCAGACAGTTATGTCATGGCTATACGACTGAGTAATTCAATTAATGAGTTTATGAACGTGTCTTCAGTTGGTTAAAATAAATTATTATGTTTGCAATGCATTTAACTATAACACGTTGAGACACTGTACCAGCACCAAATGGCTGATAATCGTAAACTTCTTTTATCTGCCGACAAATCGTCTGTGTGAATGCGGGCAGAAAGGATCTTTAAACATTGTGTTAGTTCTATTTACGTTAAGAAAAAAAACAAAACAAATCCACTCTAATGCTGATACATTCGGCATTTTCGTAATGCTTTACCACCAAACTACTACAAGACTAACACTAATTAACATAATTGAAATTTTATAAATATGTTTGTTTAATATTCTATATAATAAGATAATATTTTTTTATTGATCCAAATAAATTGCATTTGATTTCATTTTAAATAACTTTTTTTCAAGACATAAATGAATACATATTTTAACAAACACAACATCTTACAAATAAAACACTTTAAATAGAAGTCATCTAAAGTATTGCCCTCACGTACAAAACATGCCATGATATACCGTAAAACTGAAATCCTGTTGGCACTACTGAGATGTAATTTAGGTAACACAATAATGTTTATATCTTTCGGTTCTAACTTTGATAGAACAATTTCGAACCGATTGATCGGATCTTAGGTATCTGTGATGAAAATGTTGAGGTGTATCCTACAATTATTATTATTTGTCAATTTTACAGCTGTATTTTTTTTTTCAAATCTTTCTTCAAGAGAAGTTTGTTTTTCTTAAAGTGTGCATGTTACTATCAGCTTTCTTGATCGGTTTATGTAATTTCCCGTGTGTAAAATTTTTCAGATAATATTGTTTAAATAATAGATTTACAATTTCATAAGGCATACGAGGCTTCTTGTTCCTAACGACATTGGCATCGTGGCAAATTTTTTTTTTTTTTTTTCATTTTAAAAACAAAATTTTACAACACATTATTTCCTACGCCACACACAGAGTCATTAACATTTTATGAACCCAAAGTTTTGTTTTAAAATGAAGGTAATTTGGATCTTTGTGGTGATCCTGGTAGGGCTGTCTGATGTCAGACGATTAAATTCGCACACCAGCATGTAGTACTGAATTTAATGGGAGTCTGCTATCAGACGATTAAATTCCCACACCAGCATGTAGCACTGAATTTAATGGGTGTCTGCTATCAGACGATGAATTCCTACACCAGAAAGTAATCCTGATGTTAAAAGGTGTTTTATGTCAGACTATAATTCTTCACACCCGCAGGTGATCCTGAAGTTTAGGTGGCTTCCCGTTATTGCACTGCAGAATAAGAGAATAAACTTGTCCCCTCACACCGAAAGTGACACATTCTTTTTTTGTTTTAAAAATGAAAATCTTTGTTTGACTATATCATGTACAACTTGGCAGTGTTACTAATTATTATTCGTGAAATCTAGATAATTATATGTCATTAATTGCTCTATAGGGTGACACGTAGGTAACTATGTCACTAATTGCTCTATAGGGTGACACCTAGGTACCTATATGTCACTAATTGCTCTAAAGGTGACACCTAGGTACCTATATGTAACTAATTGCTCTATTGGTGACACCTAGGTACCTATATGTCACTAATTGCTCTATAGGTTACACCTAGGTACTTTTATGGCACTAATTGCTCTATAGGTGACACCTAGGTAAATTTGAATTTACATCTAAACATATTTTTCACACGTAAGCTGTGATTGGATGGTGCTAAATGTTAATTATAAGTCAAACAACGGCATCAGAACATATTTTTTTAGGATGGATAGGTTGTGGTAAGGACTAAGGTTGCACCATCGTTATCTCAGGCATTTTTATAAGCAAATTATATAATGCCATCTGTTATGTAGGACGTGTTTACGTTAGAGACCGACTAAAAGTTATTTTCTGATTTCTACCGAGACCGAAAAATACGCCGAAAGTTTAAAAATGACTTTTGGCCGAAACCGAAGCCAAAAATAAAATATTTAGATATTTTGAAGTGTGTTCCCGCATAAATTCTGCATACATCAAAATTGATTGAGGATAGTATCAATATTTACATTATTTTTTATGAACAAGAGATAATCTTGAATATAAATAAATAAATATCTAACATATTGGTCTCAAACTCGCGGCCCGCGAGATATTTGTGACCCTCAAGACGATATTTTACGGCCCGCTACATGACAGAAAAGTTTAGTGTTAATGCGCCGGCACGTTTCCCCCATTCTCATATCTATAACGTGACTCTCCGCGACGGTTTCAGTCGAATCTCACCGACTAGTCTAATTTTGATTTTTTTAAATCTAACTATATATTTTTGTATGATGATTATAATGGTAAGAACTGTTTTAAAATTGGAATAACATTTTTTTTAAAATTTTATAGCGTTTTATGAGACAAACATGGCAAAGAGTGCGGCTTTGAGAAAAGTTTTTTGAAGTAAGTTGGTGGGTAATGCCAAACCATAATTGTGTAAATCGTAGCAATCTGATACATTATCAAAGGATTCATATTAAAATTGCCGCTAGTGTTTACGATTGATTGAAATTCGGAGC